GTTGGGGCAGGAGGATCACTTGAGCCCAGGAGTTTGAGGTTGCTGTGAGCTAGGCTGACTGTAGCCAAGGCAACAGAGTGAGACTCTGTCTCAAAAAACAGATTAATGTGACAAAAATCTTATAGCAGCCATCTCTAAATAAAACTTTTCTAATTAAATACTAGCTGATCAGTCTTGGGATGTAAATTTCAATGCAGACTGGCTTTTGAGAGTTTTACAAGCTCTCTAGGTATATCTTATGTATAGCCAAAGTTGAGAAACATGGCACCACCACCACTATTACTATAATTGACCTTTGGATGAGTTTGAACTACACAGGTCCACTTATATGCAGATTTCTTTCAAACAAACATGGATTGAAAAAACCCAAGTGTACAGAGGGGCAACATTTTTTATATACAGGGCCAACTTCAGGACTTCATATGCATGGATTTGGATATACACAGATTTGGGTATACCTAGGCAGTCTTGAAACCAATCCCCCAAGTGTACTGAGGGATGACTGTACCATTACTACTGTGCTGTGTATTTTCCTGCACCACCACCACAACTACTGCCCTGCTGTGTTGAGGGTTTTTTGGTGTTTTTTTCCCCCCAGAGATAGGCTGTCACTCTGTTCCCCAGGCTGGAGTGCAGTGGCATGATCATAGTTCTCTGGGCTCAGGCAATCCTTTTGTCTTAGCCTCCAGAGTAGCTCAGGTGTGCACCACCACCACGCCTGGCCAATTTTTAAAATTTTTTAGAGAGATGGGGTCTTGCTAAGTTGCCCAGGCTGGTCTTGAATTCCTAGCCATAAGTAATCCTCTCACCTCAGCCTCCTCAAGTTCTGGGATTAGAGGCATGAGCTGTGTTGAACTATTTTAAAGTAAATTTCTGACATTTCTCAAATCTTCATTCTCAAATGAGGCTTATTATTTCCAGTATTGATAGAAAGCATTATTACTCTCATGAGCACTTGCTTCCTTTATCTGATTCATTTTTTCCCTAATTTCCTCTCTATATGAGCATGCAGTCAGTTTTACCTGATTCTTTTGGTATCCACATTAAAATTCTCTTTTTCTTTGCATGCATTTACTTTTTGTTAATTTCATGATAAAGGATTATGTCCCCAAAATATTTTTAAAGACAAATTTGACAAAGGCTTATTTAAAGGAGTATGTTATTAAAATTAAAATATCCTTTATCAATTATAAGACATCTTTTTTTACATTGTATCTTTTCTGAAATTGATATACAACAGTTGCTGGCATTTTATCATTGCCTTAGTTGAGTGACAGCATTTATTTAGTTGTATGTAAACCTGTGTTGATTCATTCTGATAAGACCAAGAAAGTACTAGCATGAAGGAATCCTAGTGTACTATGGTGGTAATAATCCAACTAGTCTCATTGAGAAGCAACTGAAAACCTGACCATCTTTATAGGCCATTCTCTTGCTCTGTCTTTTTCAGTTTATTTTCTTTTTTTAGAAATTAACATCAGTCTCTGAAGCAGTTATAAATAATCCCCTGGGGGCTATTAAGTAAACCAACTTGCACCCCACCCCACTTTTGCCTACCTGCTATCTGATTTACATCTGGCAACTAAATTGATAAGGATTTTCATTCCCAGTAGGAGAAATTACCTAAATTCTCTTTCATCTATTTCTAAATTACACTTTTTTCCTATTATAACTTGTCATATACATTTTCTCATGTATATATTTCCCATGTAATATTGTGTATCAAGTTTTTTAAAAACTTAAACTTTAAAAATTTTAAATTTGATACATAATATTACATAGTATATTTGTACTATAATTCGATGAGCATGCCTGATCCTTGATATTTGTTATTTCTATTTTTGTTAAAATTGTTTGCAAAGAAAGCTGGAGTGAATAATCTTTGGACATTGATTTGGGTATTTCCTTTGGATGGATTTCCAGAAGACAGATTACTGGGTCAAAAGAGCATATGAACATTTTTTTAAGTTCTTGATACTTTTTGACAGATTGTGTTCTGATACAATTATAATTTAAGAATTATTAAGGCTGTCCTGCTTGGGAAATTTCTTCTTCCCCTATTTCATTCATAGCTTACTTTGGCAGGTACCTCAGGAAATAATTATTTAAGGGGGTGGAATAGATATAGGTGGGGATAATGGCAAAATGGTTAGGCTTCCTTTAACTTTCTGTTGGAAAATCAAAATTCAAGAAAAATAACTTATTTTGGCATAAGAAGGCAAATTTTAATGACTTTTTATTTTAATTTTTTAAAAACCAGAAAAATGTCATAAGCTCAACAATGAAGTATATTTTATTTAAAATGTAATGTTAGTTATCCTATTAACTTCTTTTTAAAAATAAAAATTAACATACCGAGCTTTCCCACTTTTAGTATTATTATGCTGGACATAGAACTCAGTATATGAATTGTTATTTTTGTGATTTGAAAAAGTATCTTTGAATAGTAGTGGCTTGCTGAGTTAAATGTGAATTAAGCACTGTTTCAGTCTTCACAATTCTAATAAAAGCTAATGGTAAAAAATAAAATTTAATAGATGCTTTAAAAGTCAGCTGCTAGAATATTAGTTTTGTTTGTCAAGCAATACATGAATTTAGCAAACATTTATTAAACATAGGCTAGTAACATTGTTAGATTTCAGTGATTAGTGGTTTTTTTTTTGGAAAGATAGTTTATAACAGTATGAAAAATAGAGGGAGAAATTAAATTCTTAGTGTTCTGACAAAAGCAAGTTGATGTGAACAAGGTGTTGAAGGATGTGTATAAGATGCCAAGTCAGAGGAGCCAGTTACTGAGGTAAATAAATGTGTAGGAGGGTGATAATCAGAGGAAACTGTAGAACTGTAGGAAAGTTTATGATAGTATTGCTGCTCCTTCAGGTGCTTATTATTAGGAAATGGTGGCAAGGTGTAAAGTATCTCTATCTTGAGCTGATGCCTGGCCCTGTGAAGAGTTTGCCAGCATGAAACATGCTGTAAAGTAATCTTTTCGATTCTTGTGGTGGTGGTAGTTCTCCTTACTGAAATAATGAAATAAGATAGTGAATGAGTTACTTTATTCAGGGCTTAATATAAAGGTAATTATGATTTTGTGATTTAAGATTCTGAAAGGGGAGGCCAAGGCGGGTGGATTGCTCAAGGTCAGGAGTTTGAACCCAGCCTGAGCAAGAGCGAGACCCCGTCTCTACTAAAAATAGAAAGAAATTAATTGGCCAACTAAAAATATATAGAAAAAAATTAGCTGGGCATGGTGGCGCGTGCCTGTAGTCCCAGTTACTTGGGAGGCTGAGGCAGAAGGATTGCTTGAGCCCAGGAGTGTGAGGTCACTGTGAGCTAAGCTGACGCCATGGCACTGTAGCCTGGGCAACAGAGTGAGACTCTGTCTCAAAAAAAAAGAAAGATTCTGAAAGAGAAACTTTCTTGACAGCGTTGAGAAGAATCACAAGAAAGAAATTTTAGGTATACTGGTAAAAAATCCTAATTTCACAGAAAAGGATGTGATGGGTAAATTTGGGGGTTGCATAGGAACAGTGTCAAGATTTCTAAAACTGAAAATAAGCTGGGAATTAGAAAAAGTGATTAAAATCAGGAGTTGAACAAACAAAACTCCAGCCTTTTTCCAAATAGGTTTAGTGATAAGGAGGGCAATAGGTACATTATTAGGTATGTGGAGGTTGCAGGGAGCATTGAAGAAACAAAAGAATTCATATTTGGTTTGTCTTCAATGGCAAGGAAAATTATGTTAAAGCTAGTATGTGCAAAGTAAACATTATTAAAAGGGACTTGAAATCAAAGAGAAAACAGGTTAGATGAGCAGACAATTGTACTAAATAAGTATATCTCTTACCTAGGACATATTGCATCTACTGAGTACTGAGAATACTCTAAAATGAAATCACTAGCAGCTCTCAGTAATTTTTCAAAAATCGTGAGTAATGGGGGTGGGCAGGAGAATGGTCATAACTAAATATTTGCTTTTGAACTGAATGCTACAGGAGTAGAATCTTTCCTGTTTTGAATATATAATGAGCACTTTTTGAAATCATCTTTGTTCTTACATCTCTGGAACATATTAAAATGTTGAATTTTATCTGTTTTGGATGGACCTAGTATACTAAAATGAGCATATAGAGTTTTCATACAGTGTGACCACTAGATGGTGCTCATACAGAAGGAATTTGTGAATAAATAAATGTATGTATATGAGATCAGGGTTTTTCTAGACAAATAAAAAATCCATGTTATTATATCCATATTTTCAGTTTAGTCATGTCTTATCTCAGTATAGTTGTATGTTTTGGAATTTAATAGTCCAGTCATGTGGCTTTCTGGATCTTCGAGTGCAGCCTTTTGACTGAATCCAAACTTTTATATAATATTAAAGAAATTTGTTCTGTGAAGTTTGGATTCGGTTGAGGGGAAGCATTTGGGGATCTTGGAGGACTACATGTGGCCTTGAGGCTGCAGGTTCCAAGATTATAAAGGTAAAAGGGTAACAAAAATGCCTGTTGTGTTGTATCTATAATGCCTTCGCTTTGTGGTTACTTGGTAATTGTTTTTGTTTTGTTTTGTTAGTATTTTAGAGTTTCAATATTGGTTTTTCTCTCATCCTTTACCTTTTAAAAATTTTCATTATTATTTAATACTTGCCTTTGTTACTATACCTAAAGACTTCTGGATTTATTTGTGAGTTTGGAAACGTGTGCAAATATTTAAGGGCCTATGCTGTATAATTTTTTAACTGTCTTTACTTCCATTTAATGTTATAAAATAACATTCCTCAAAATCATTTCATGATTATATTTTGCGTTATATAACAATCTACTGAACTAACTACTCAGTTTACTAAATTAAGCTTTCTCCTATTGTTTAGGCTAGAATTGTATTATAAATTATATTATTACTCTGAAAAAGAGAAATTAAAAGTGTATAGGAAAAAGAATGTTAATTCTTTGTATGTCATATTAAAATGTTAATAGTGATTCTTTTTTGTGGTTTTTTAATCATTTTAAATAGATTGTCCAGGTTTTTTTATAATTAATTTAAATTTTGCTTTAATGCAGTTTATCTTTCATTTCTGCTACATAATATTTGAGGCTATTCTAAAGCAAAGAATAGTTGGTTGCCTTTCACTTCCCAAACAAATTATGTGAAACCAGTTGTGACTTTAGGTACATACATGGTTTCGTACGCTTGTACTAACTACTGGCCAATGGATAAGGTGATCCTAGATTTTGTAGGTCAGATAGCAGGACATCTTTCTCAAAATTTGAAGTTTTGTTTTGATGTGAATTTATTTAAATATGAAATTCATACAGTGAGAAGTATTTCTTCCCTGTACTCCGGGGAAACATGGAATGGCATGATCTGTCAACTTTAGATTGTGCCCTCAAACTCTTTGGCTTTCTAGGAGAAGCCTATGTATGCTAAAGACTTACTGTTCTTTCTGTATGGGTACTGTTTGCAACTTGAGGGTAGGAGATTTGCATCCAACATTTGTATTGTGTATCTTCATCCATACTAATCCAGAATAACAGAGCCAATATCAATTTTTCCCCCTTTCCCTAGATTTTCATAAGAAATTAATCAAGGCACATATATTGGGGCCAAACCAGTTACTAGAGTACTTGTATAAACTACACCAATCAGTTCTTCATTAAGTCCTGGTCCATAGTAAAACTTGAATTTTTTTCAAGAGGATTCATATTTTTTCCTTCAGAGGGGGATTCTTAGTTCTGCATCCACCCTTTAATGTTTTCCTCCATTCCACTACCCCCAATTAGATAGACTCAATCTGTCTAGGGCTACAAATTACCACTACTTCCTGCACAGTCCTTGGGAAGAAGCACCAAACTCTGTGCTGTAATCTGTCACTAAACATTTCACCCCCAAGAGTCCTACATGACTCTCAACCCTTTTTGGGCTTATGTCTGTATCTTAGGGAAGGAACCATAAAGATGAAATTAGCATCTTTTCTGGCAGAGCCAGAATTTGAAATGGACCTCAAGGTTGTAATTTGACAATGCTGCTTTCCGGTACGCTGTGTTTAGTTGGTACTGATAAGCACAATAAACAAGATTTGGTTAGTCCACATCTAAAAAAAAACCACAGTTGAGTTTGGGACTTACAATGTTTTCTTATCAACTTAAAAATTGAATTACTCAATAATCAGTAAATTATCAAGTAGCATTTTCTGTTCCTATATTATTTTTAAATGACTGGACAGGTTTAAGAGTCTGTGGTTCTTAAACTTGAGAGTGCTTAAGAATCGCTTGGAAAGCTTTTTAAAAATAAAAATTCCCAGGTCCCCCTGACCCCTAAAAAGTCTTTTGACAGGGGAGTGAGCATACCAATCTGCATTTTTAACTGGGACTCCAGGCAATTCTGAGATTAACTACCATGTTGAGAAACACAGACCTACATATTAGATGTTAGAAAACGTCCATTTAACAGCCAAATAGCATTTTTTTGTGAACCAGAGTATTATTTAGGTAGAGTGGGATAAAACACATTCCACTGATTATGAAACAAAAAAATTTATCAAAGTTAATTATCTTGCATTTTTAGAAATTTATAACCTTGTAATCTTGATGTTTATAATACACTAGAGGGATGATACTGATAATTTCTTAACCATTCTTTTTTATCGTACAAGTTCCAGAAGCCAAATACTTGTTTTGCTAATTAATCTATTTCTGTCTCCAGACTCAATTATCAAAAGCATTAAAAAGCAGTATATAACATGAAATGTTAGTGCTCCATTACAAATGGATTTCCCTCTATCATTAGATCCTCAGAGTTTAATATAGATAGAACCTTTAAAAAATTTAGAACTGGTGCTAAATAATGTAAGATCCTTCCTGGTATAGAAATTTATATGTGAATGACAAAGGTTCTTTAAGTGAAATTATTTTAACAATCAGAACTGTTGGCAGAAAGAATCCTCTTGTATGTTTTAATTCAGTTCATATTTATAATTTATGTAAGCAGTGAAGATGCCATTGGATTTTACTACAGACCGTGATTGAAACTTGGTAATCCAGGGTTTCTCCACCCAGTGCATTAAATCAGGCAGCCCCACAGGGTCTTGGTAGTCCAGTGTTTGTAACATCCTTCTTTACCTGCTAATCGACCTCACTTCCTGGATTTCAGTCCATCTAGTTATCAGCTAACAAAAGAACAGCTTTCGGTTCCTGCAGACGCTGGTGAAAAAATAATCATGAGAAAGAAATCTACCTTATGTCGTCTTTTTTGTCTGCAAAAATAAACTCAGCCATCATACAGCTAACAGGTACAGAGGGAAGATACAAGCTTTTTCATAGGAAGAAATTACCGAGAAAATGAGCATCATTTCTCAAGGTTTTTATTTTCCCTGATCTACAAGTGATGCTGCTGTAATTCTAGCTGCAGTTTTTACCGATCATTCACCACTCAGCAGCTGGTAGAGAAGTAAGACTGCTTGGCAACCACCTGCAGGGCTGCAGAGATGAATTACATTTTCGGAAACAACACACTTCTGTACTCTCGCGGCAGTCGAGGAGGCAATACTAGCTCTAGCCATGGCTCAGTAGGCCCAAAGCAGAAACACTGGGCAAAAAAGGGTTCATCAGATGAACTGCAAGCTGAGCCAGAACCTTCACGCTGGCAGCAGATAGTTGCATTTTTCACTCGAAGACATAGCTTTATTGACTGCATCTCGGTAGCCACCAGCTCCACCCAGGTAACATACCACTTGTTGAAATTATTTTCAATATATTTCTGTTCACATTTGCTTTGTAAAAATGTCTTAATATAGATTTCTTATTATTTAAAAAAGAATCTTATGCACTGAAAACTTGGATGGGCAGAAATGTATGTTTGCAGTGCATCTATGCAGCTCTTTAGCACAAAAGGAGGAACAAAAAATATTTTCCCTTATGCTCTTATGTAATGCCAGACAAAACAGTCTCAGATTCTATTGAATGACTACTCTAAAATTATAAAACCATATAATTTTATTATAAAAAAACCATTTTATGTACCATTGGTACATAAAATGTAAATTAATGATGCTTATCTCCTTATGTTTAGACTGTGTTAAATGCTATAGAGTAGATATCTGAACAAAGAAAATACTTTAGTGTTTGTATGTTATTAGATAACCTTAGGGAGATTGTTATAGTAAAGAAACAGAAGATAATTTTAAATATTTTCATTTGCCAGTGTTTTGAGAATAGATTAAATTTAAACAGTTGGCTAGTATTGTGTATGCTTACGTGTTAGCTGTATTAAATTATGGCTTATTCAAGGGACTTAATGAATCTTTCCATATCTGTAAATATATATTATCTAGGGTTAATTTGAAGTCAGTAAACTTGTATAATTACACAGTCATGAAAATATTTTTTCACATATTCAAATCACAGTTTAAAGAGATGAGCAAACACTAAAAGTCTCCAAAATTAAGAAACAAAATCTCATAAAACCAATTCTTTTTGAGGAAATAATGTTGAGTATAGGAGGAAAATATAAAGTAAAAATAACTGTTTGCATGAAATATCTATTGTTTGATATAAGGGTGGATGGGGGAAGTATTCATATTTTAAAGTATTTTTAAACAGATATTCAACTTTAGTAAAAATAAAAGGATGATATATAGTCTAAAAACAAGTTGAGAATACTTTTGCTCTTTGACATCAGTGATATTTAAATTAACAAAACACATGCCTGCACATTCCTTAGGGCCTTTAAATAATAAATTCCCTTGAAGCCATCTTTTTTCAAAATAATTAGAAGCAGCACAATGAACATAAACTGTAGCTATCAACAGTTTTCTATTTCTTTATACATTCCTAACATTTCTTGATTGTTTCTGTTGCCAAAATAGCCTTTAATGGTTTTGATTTTAAAATGATGTCAGATTTCTTAAGTAAGAAATTCTATTTATTTTTCTTACATGTTTGAGAGAAATGGAATTACTGGAACAGGGAAAGTAGTTATTTTTGTGTAGGCACTGAGGTTACTGACAATCAAAACTTATTTGGGGGTGTTGATTGATTTAACTCTTAAATTGAATGCTGCCCCAAGAATTTAACAAACTTGATTTTGACTACAATCAAAAAGAGATGCAAAGACGAAAGGTTGGCATTGTTATTCATTGTAGATTAATATTAAATGAGATATTCCATTGCCAACAAGATATCTTTAAACTTTATATATAAATACATATACATTACTATACATATATATATATACACATTAGCATTGCTATATCTGTAATTCATCTTATTAAGGACATACAAATGAACAGACAGGAAAAATAGTTCATGTATAAAAGTATTGAAAGCATAGAATTACATTATAGTTACTTAGGAGTTGGAGCAAAAAGTTGTATCATCTTGCACTAAAATAGAGTCATGACCTCTATTTGCTATTGATACTACAAAGCCATTTTAAATTTTATCCTCCCACCCAGTTTGCTTCAGATGATTCCTGTGTACTGATAAGTGAGTTAGGTTTTATTTCTTTCATTCCTCTTTTCTGATACTCATGTTGTCTTTTTCGTTACCTTTGTATTTTTTCTCTAGAAGTATAAACATTAAGTCAGAGATTTAGTTTCTATTTCTCCTGCTCTGGAGTACTAGCATTTCATTTTTCATTTTATACCTTTTTCTAATTGATGAGTTAGGTAGTTTATATATTCAAGTGTTTTGTTATAACTGATTGGAGTTTATTATACAGGATAAAATATAATGGGACTGAGAAAGAGCTTTAGACATAATTGGATCTTAGTTGATGCTAGAATACATTTTTCTATTTTACCGACTGACTCATAGCTAGCAATTTTATTTTGTAGCACCAGAGGGATTTGTTCATTGTTGGAAACAAAGTAGATGGATGAAATTTAATAATTTTTTTGAGCAGATAGCTATGAATTTAATAGTGTTTTGTACTGTGATTGATAATAAGCATAGGTCTCTTATTTCACTGTTGTCAGAAATACTCTGTTCTAAGATTTGATAGAAAGATTAAATGAATCTAATTCCTTATGACTAGGCATGTGATACTTTTAGCAGATTGGAGAGTTGTTATTAAATCAAGTTATAGTAGTATGAAAATCATTATTCTGGTTTAATACCCCCCAAATATCCACTATAAATTTAAAATACCTTTACTTATTTTACAGAATAATTTAAATTGCTTTTCTGTTGAAGGTATTCATGTTCATCACTAAGATTATGCCAGGTTCTACTGTAAAATATGGAACTTAGTAGGAGGTCATTAATGTTTTTTAAATGATAAGGAAACCAAGTGGCTATAAACTTTTGCAAGAAACCCAACTTCTAGGATAGGACTCAGCACATAGTTTTGGTGCTTAGTAAATCTTTATGGAATTATCACCTGGAATGTTATCTCTTGGCCTTCCAAAATATGGCACCTAATCTGACACCTCTTGGGTACTGTATTTATTGGATCTGCTCTCTTCCCTCACACGTACCTTTAGTTTTTCACAGCAGCCCATCAGTTCTTCACATCCCTTTTCTTCCCCTCCATTCTACATATTATCCTCAAGATACACAAATCCCCCATGCACCTGATTTCCTTCCCCAGTAGTATTAACCATATAGCTTACAAACTGTCTCTAATTTTTATCATTTGGTTGGTTGTATCTCAAAAGTTTACATTGTGGGTTTTGGGGGGATTATTTTGTTTTTTATTAATACTCAATTAAGATGAGTTTCTTGTGAATTTGTTTACTTTGGTGAAAGTTTTTCTGTTTTGGACTTCATATTGTTTATGTCCTTAATTTTGAACTATTAATATAATATAGAAAAAGTGGCCTGTGCATCATCAAGCCCTCCTTGGTTCCTCACCCTCAGTCTCCCTCCTATTCTTACATTTAGGATCACTTGACACCAATCTACCAAGTCTTACTTGATATCCTTAGCCCTGTTCCAATCTAAGACCAATTTTTATATTCAGTGGGGTTTTAAAGAACTCTATCATGTTGCTTCTAGACTTTGCTACTTGATTAACTCCTAGGTGAAAAGTTTATCTACTTGGTGATATCAGCATTTATTAATGACAGTAGTAATCAAATAAACTGTGAATATCTGTGAGGTGTTAGATCACTTTGAATATGTTTAGCAACCATTCATATATTTTGCACTATTTAAAAATTCCTAACAATATTTTAAAAGTCCTAAAAATTCCTAACAATGAATAGCAACTATTCATATATTTTAGACTATTTAAAAATTCCTAACAAAAATTTGTTTTTAATTATAAATATTCAAAAAGGTTCCCCCAAAACAATTGACATGCCAAATTAAGCCAAAGCAAAAAATTTCTCTTCTTAGGAGTGAATTGAACAGATATATGACTTGTTAGAATTGAAGTTGAATAATAACATTTTCACAAGAGTAGATAGATATTAGTCACATGAATTGAATAATCTACATAGAGGAAAAATCCTGCCCTAAATTAAAATACAGGGAAACACTATTCAGATACCCATGTGAAAATATATATAGGCTAATTTGTATAAAAAGAATACTATTGTCCTAAACAGGTACATTCTGAATTATAGAGGATTTAATATTTTTAGGGCTATACGTTGTACTTATTGGAAAAAATAGAAAAAAAGGAGATAATAGTATCAATATCATTGAATTCTATTAAGTGATTTAATATATATAACATACTGAAAATAGCACCTGGCACATAGTAAGTGCTACATTAGAGTTAGGTGCAGCTATTATTATTTTATTATAATGCTTAACTCTGATAGTATATGGACAAATTCAAATATAGATAATTAGAAATTATAGCACCTAGGGCAGTGCAGCACATTCAAACATTCAGTAAATATTGACTGAATAAGTTAATTACAAGTGCAGGCTGTCCACTTTGTTAAGAACCATGAATCTCAACACCTTTAATGGTAAGATTTAAGGGAGGGGGCCCTCAAAGATCCCCTTAAATTCTTGGTGAGACCACCAGTTTTCTGACTTATCCTCCCCTCCTCCCTTCAAGTTACTAAAAGCCAGTCACAAGTGGATGACTAAATTGAATTGTTTATGTATCCAATTCTTACCAGGTTCCCCAAACATATATCATAAGAACTAATCTTAGATTCTACATCCATTTTAGCTTCAGCACGACAAAAGGTCTAAACTTTCCAGATCAGTCTCTTATTTCCTTATCCCTTTGTGACTCTGGTATATCCCTAATCTGTCTTAAACTCCCATTTATCTGTAACCACACAAACCTGTTCACTCAGCCCTTTGGAGCTTCCAGTTTGTCATCAGTAGAATCTTCTTTATCTGCCACCTCTTCTGTGATGGTTATCTCACCATTTTTTCCTCTCATGTAAGCCTAGCATTCCCCTGAGAATACTGTTTTTTTTTTTAATTTTTCTTATGGCCCTCACAAAATGTGGGACTTTTGTCCATCATACCCCTGTACCATGGGACCAACAGATTGAGTTAATGTCTTTCTTTGCTTATCATTGATATTTTATGGATAATTGTACCTAGTATTTTCTACTTTCCCTCCTTTTCTAGTCATCTGCATCTCTTCCAGTCATTCTTACTCATTGATGGTTTAAACGCCTGATTAACTGTCTTTTCTCTGCCTACTATTCCTGTAATCATTCTTAGTGATTTTTACATCCTTGCATGATCCATTGAAAGTCTTTACTTCTCAATTCTCTGGCATCTTTAACTGTAGGAATCTTGT